GGCACAACCCGCCTTTCAATAAGCGCGCTCTTCTTGCCGAGCGCTGTTTCCCCGGAAAAGCTGGATTGCTGGAACAATATTGCCAGATGCTACGATTTATCTTTCGGGGAATAAAAATCATAGAATCGTCAAGGTTGGGAGAGACCTTTAAGATAAAGTCCAAGCATAAACCCAGCACTACCATTGTAACCCCGGAGCTACTAAACCACATCATCCAGCGCCAGGTCCAGATGCCCCTTAAACACCTCCACCACCTCCCTGGCAACCTATTCCAGTGCCTGATTCAACTTAACTTTCAATTAAGTTTTAAGGGGCAACAAGCTTAAAATAGCACCTCTTATATCAGTATTTTAAAATAAGCTTTGCTCTTATGTTTTGGGAATGGGTGGCATCAGAGGCTGGAACTCTGCTGTTAGTGGGATGGGCTCAGCACCTGCTGGTTGGTGATGCCCAGAATTGACTGGCCTGAAAGCTGCTGCCTGAAGGCTGATGGAGACCTGGAAGAACAAGAGCTAGGAGTTATCTGTGAGAAGGGGGTTGCTTTAAACAGGTCAGAGTATTGTCTGCTTAGGATTGCCCAAATGTGGGTGTCAGCGCTTTCCCCATGGCATATTTGTGATGATCACTTTACTTGTAATGCTGTGACATTAAATAAATTGATCTGCTTGGCAGTTGACCCTGTGAGCAATGGGAACAGTGCTGAAGTACTGTCCATGTTGTACCCTGCCCCCAAATATGCAAATGTACCTTAAAAAGCTCACACGAAAACTCATAAAAACTGATGTGTATTTGTTCTTAGCACACAGGCCCCAAATAATAGTATAAGTATCTTTAAATCAAAAATCTTAGAAATTCAGTTCATAGTAAGGGATACTGCTCTTTTAGTTTCTGTGTCCTCCTCTAACCTGCAGTAAACTTTGGCTGGTGACTAAAAATTACAACACTGAGCCTTTCCCAAGGCTCCACTCACTTCACCAGGTGGCATGACTAGGAGGGACTGCCTAAGTCCTCTGAGAAGTTATATATTAATCTTTTATTCTTGTACTCAAATACTTTTCTCAGTCATCATTTGAAACTCAAGGAGAGAAACTGCCCTTCCCATCACTATGATTTTTAACTTCCAGTTTATCGATTTTTGACAAATTACAGTGCTGCAAAGTAGCTGTGATTTTACAGACATTGCCGTAGGTCACGATGCCCGTTTCTTACGAGACAGGAATGCTGCTTCGAGCAGGACAGTCCCAACCTCTGCTGCTGCCACAGTCGAGCACGTTGCTAGTTTTAGCTATGGTGAAATTCTATAAGCAACATACCAAAGAACTCTCTGGAATAGAAGCCTTGTCACATTCCCTAACCAGCAGAAGAGTTAATCTACATCAGCTGCTCGAATGATTCATTAAGGGTGAAAAAACTCGACTTTAAGCTAAACCAGCCCAAAGGTGCAGAGTGGCTGAAAGTCTTTGATGGCATCTAACCAGGTACAGCCCCGTGCTGGGCCACAGTGCCTGAGGGAAGAGAGAGGGACAGGAAGAGATGGAGGATGCTATCAAGTGGCAGCAGCAGCAGCCAGCATCAAGGGACAGAGCAGCCTATATTCTTCCTCTGCTCGCATTCTAGGACAGCTTGAATGTAGTTTACAGATGCCTACAAAACTAGAAATAAAAACCTCGAAATCTTCACGTCCTCATTCTAACACTCTCTTTAGTGTACCATATGGCACATCTACCATATTAGGTAAACAACTTCACAAAATTACAAGAGCAACTGAGATTCATTACAACTTGTGCATTATAAGTGTGTAGGATTCATTACTGAATAATTTATCTTTTCATACTCTCTGTCTGTTGTTTGATACTCAAAGTAAGTTTCTGCACTCAATTCTTCAGGACAAGAGTTCCAGCTCCTCTGTGCTGTACTGCTAAAGTTTTAAATTATATAAAAGAGCAACTTGCATAAGAATTCTAATAATGGGTTACAGGTAATTATCGATGTTGATGTACAAATAATCAGACTCAATGTACAATCGATGCTGTGAACTTCACCCATCAGCAATAACATCAAAAGATCTTGATTATCACAAGCACATATGGATTCTCCATGTGTCAAAGAGCAGAACTTAGCAGGAGCTATACAGGAAAACCAGAGAGCTGTCAGTTCTTTCAAACAGCTCCCTTTAGGATATTCTTATTTAAATCCTTATTTTTTCCCCTAGAACCAGCCTATGTAGATCATGGCCCAGAGACTGTGTCTCAGGTTATGGCAATGCCATTCTTTTTCTTTTTGTTTTCTAAAATGTAGTTAGCCTAGAACTCATTACAGGAATATCTGACAGAGGTATGGATTGGGGTGATAAGGGACAGAGCAGAGAAGCCTGCAGATGGTTTTAGTCTTAACTGACCTTCGGAAGACTAAGGGCCCATCAATAAATAGACGAAAAACTGATAGTGATAGTTCTGACTGGTGATTTTTTTGCTCGCATTTCCTGCCCTTTTCTCTGCTCCTCACCCACCCACTAATCATTTCAAATGCTGAAAGGTGGAATTTAACTGGTAGTACCTCGATTCCACAAGTTCAGTCAAACAAGATAATGAACTTAATACAAATTTTGGGTTTATTAGAAAGCGTCACTGTTCTTGTAGCCAGTGCCAGTCTCCTCTAATAAGTGTTCAGCAAAACCATCAAGACTTCATATGCATCTGGAATACAAACGTTTGACAATCTATAGGAAAAATATTCCTGTTTTTTTACTTTGAATTTAGAGGCAAATGCAGTCTTACTACATACATATACCTGGAAATAAATAAAACAACTTAAGTACCTCTTTGCAGTTTATGCACTTGACTGTCCTCTCTCTGGAAGCTCAAAACACTGTTAAAGTCTTGGTCTTCAAATCATCCCATGTACTTCAGTTGTCCTTAAGTGAATCCCTGAAGAAGTCTAATACTCCTAATAGGGATTAATATTCAAAATTAAGTATGGTGTGCTCCAGGAAAAAGTCTTAACCCTTGCAGAATAAAATAGCAAGAGATGAACAGTAGATTTGGATAGGAAGTGTGAAGTCCCCTTTTATTTTGTGATAATCATACTTCTCTACACTCCTATTTCCACTTAAGGACAGTGTCTGCTCTCATGAGTACTGAACTGTTTCTACAAGCTACAGAAGCACCACTTTTGACAGCAAATCAGTGTTCTGGACTGAACACCTCTCTAGGGAAGAGGAATGGCAAAAGCATCCACTTTTTTAAACGTTTATATCTACATAACAGTTACTGGAACTCCAGAAGTAGAGCAGAAAAAAAAACCAGCTCTTTTCATAAAATATATTTGCATGACAGTGTGAGGGGTTGTCCTCTTTTTAAACACAAGGTATTTAATGATACCTAGTTATTAAGTGGGAAATACATAGAAAATACCTGTTAGAGAGAATTTAGTTGTGAGCTTGATTTTCAAAATGAAAGGTTAGCTGAGCACACAACTGCCTTGGCAATGTCCCCTAGTGTTTATGGGACAGAGGATTGTGTCACTATTACATGCCACATGCAACTCACACAGGAGTTATTTCAGTAGGGCTGTCCCGAGGCATTCCAAAGTCCATGCAACTCAACATCCTGTGCCCAACAGAAGATGCCCAGAGAATATACTGTAAAATAAACTATTATTGTTTAAAACCCTTCAAGGCTTTACAGTATAAAAGAGCTGTGGAATACTATTTTTCCTTCCCAACTGCTCTTCATCTAACTAGTCACGCTTGTTGCTGCCTGCCAAGATAGGAAGTATCAATATCCAGGCTCATCTGCACGGGAATTCCTGGGGAACTTTACTAAGAAAAAGGAGCACTTGTATAAGAAGATGGGAGTTTCTAACCACACACCCCAGCAGCTGGCAGAGATTTTTTCAAGCAAATCCTCTGAATGGAGATTACTAGTAAATGTTCAGAATTTTATCCACAGAGGAGGGAAGCAGTGGGCATGTCAACAAAGATTTGCGTTTTATCTGTTCTGAAAAATTTCTTGTGCAAATCTACAGGATTCATGGGGAAAAGATATTATTAGAAGATTAGAGGTCCTTCTGGTAACTACAACCAGCTTCAGTAATTTCACATATTTTGAATTTAGCAAATTATTAGAACTGACCGGGCAAAATGAAAGTGCTTTCCTCTCCAAGCAAATTAAAGAACTTTTGGAAAATTGAATCACTATTTCCAAGACAGAATATGTCAAGAAAATGTGCCTACTGATGGGTCTCATTACTGGAAATCCAATTTGCACATTTTACAGTCAGGATTTGTTAGAATATGTTTGAAATATTTCTTTTTAGTGAGTGCTGACTTTGGCAGGTTTTGCTTCTATTGTTCTGGGATCCTTTGTGGGCAAAGTATGACCCTGCGAGGGATGTTTTATCAACAATATACCCTCAGACAACCTAAATGGTACGTGATACCATGGATATTCCAGTTCTGGACTCTTGTACTCTCTCATTTCAGAACTGTTCTAATTCTTCTCTGAGCTTTCCATCATCATCCAGCACTGAACATTTACTCCACCAGTTCTCCTGTTTGCTTAAAGAACTGAAGACAGATGGATTTTTTCCAGTCAATACTATGATACAGCTTTCTTAGATCATTGCCGTTTTGTCCCATCAAAAAGACTTTTTACTGGACACATTTAACAATTGACCAATTATGGCAATCAGTGTTATCATCCCTCCTTCTTTATATGCTTCTCTCCACTTACCTTCAAAAATACATAAATAAAAATAAATGAAAGAACTTAAGATGAATCTTCATCTTGTTTGCTCTTGGTCAGTGCCAATAACAGGTACAGGCAGTTCCTCAGTTCTGAAACACCAGTTGCTGTAGTTGAAAACATTTGTCCTATGGAATTTGATATCACAATGCCTGGAGACTGTAAGTTACAGGAGCAGAGCTGGACACATTCTTTGTCCCTGTGCCCCTATTTAAATCATTCAGTGGCCTCATGGCACCCCTTTTTTAAGATAAAGAAGTTATTTAAAAAGTGGATTGTGTGCCTGAATACACAGTTTTTAGCTTTAGGCTAAAAAGTTGGTAAAACTTTCAGCATATGTTCAATACGTAGGACAAAATCTTATGTAGACAGAAGAGGTATGGAAACATCATAATTTAAAGAAAAAATGAAAGCAATCTAGTAAAGGAGGTTTGTTTTGGTTGTAATGAAATGAGATTTTATCTAAATGTTTTGTGGATTTGGAATGCAAAAAGTATGTAAGGAAGATTTTGCCGAGTTTTGGTTTTGTTTTGGGGTTTTTTTTTAATGACTTCTCTGTAATAACTGATTAGAATAAATCATGCTGTAGCTTCTTTATTGAGCTGCCTCAGATTTAATAAAAACACATCTAGAAAGGCTATTAGACAGGTTTGGTTTTTTTCTGGAATCTCCAACAGTCTAGTTAGGGATGTGTTTCCAGACTATAAGTTATTTTCTTACACTACCTAAAATATATTCTCACTATCAGAGTTCAAGGACTTGCCCCTATTCCTTTAATAAGCTTTTGCCCATTTTGGAAACTGCAAACAAATCTAATAACTCAGTTAAATATGGGATGTGTTCCCACAGTTGCCTGAAGAAACTAGTACATGTTTTGAAGCAAGTCAGACAAAAGATTTTATCTCTCAAATATAAGATGGGCAAAACTTCCAACCCAAAGGAAACAACACACCCAGATAAACGGCCAAGGGGTTTATGTTAAGTTGTTCCTTACTGTCAATTTTGTCTGTATGGGGTACCTTCCAATATTCTTCCATCACCACAGAAGTATAACAAAATTGCTGTCACTATCATTTAAGTTGCTAGCTAGGACAGTAACCCCCTCTGTCTGTGTACAAAAACCATGTATTAATGACCAGACTAAAGGGCAGGCAACAAATGTAACTTCTTGATTAGGCAAGATGATTAGGCTGGGGTAGCAATAGACAGTTTGTATGTTCTTGTGTAAAGCAGTCAAATTGTTTTTATGAAACTATAAAACTTGTTTCTCTTAATTATTTTCAGCAGAGCAAAAGAGAGAGGTGTTTTTGCTGCTCTGTGAAGTTCAGTGGGCCAGTAAGTTTACTCATTCATTACTATTCCTTGCCATGAAGCTGTGCAAGCAGAATTGTATGACTTGGCAGGCTGAAGCCATCCCCACTCAGGCTCATCCCCAGCAAGAACCCATCAAAGGTAACATCCCTGTGACTTCCAAAGTTATGTGAAGTTGGAGACTGGTACATATGTTGGTGTGATCATACAACAAGCTGGCTCTTACCCCTGGACTGTTACCAGCATTTCCACTGGCTCAAAGAGAAAACAGAAAGCCTGTACAGTGTCAGGTTGTCCCCTTCTTAAAGCTTTCCTGTCATGGGAAGAGATTCATGGAAAACAGAACCCTCACACCTTCTCTTACAGTTTGACCACTTTTAACTGTTCTGAAATTCAACCTTTTCAATTCAGAGGGATCATCTCCCTTCAGGAATCACACCATCCTCTTTTATAACTGGGTGGAGCAGTGAGGCACCTGCAACCCACAGGGCCTGAATCACTGACTCCTGCCCCATAAAGGCCAGAATGAGTTATTATCCTATTGCAGCTCAGATCCTTGAAAAGTTGTGCACTACTACATCACTTTGGGCTCCCAGTTCATTCTCTTACAGCTGCAACTATCAAATTTCTTTCAGTTTGGAATAAATACAATCATTTTCTTTTTTACTCACAACCTCACCCTCAACTCTACTTGTGGTTCTTTCTGCTTCATCAACAACAATTAAGATTCTTCAGACCAGTTCATACTCTGAGTTAAACTTGCACAAACCTTTTACCTTCAAAATGTCCTCCCAGATAGCCTTTAGAAAGTTGGCACAGGGGATGTCATGGGCAGAGTAAATGTTGAGGATGCTGCTGAGTAAAATGCAGAGTCCAAGATGAAGCTGTGGGACTCTGGAAAAAAAAAAAACCAAAACAAAACATATTAATAAGAATTAAGTGAGAAAATTGAAATGGCAAATCTCAAATGTGTTGGTTACTGTACAGAACAAAAAGGTGGCTTATAAAAGTACACTATTAAACCCCTTGTCGTACATCAAGTAATAGAGAAATGAGGTATAAAGTACAAATACTGTAAAGGCTTTGGAACAGTAAATGTCAGAATCTTCATGGCTATGTGAAAAGTGTGTACACAAATACTGCAACAGTAAGGAGAAGTATGAGTTAGAACTCACCATCCAGAGAGACCCTACTGTCTTCTGTGAAGATCGATTTACAGTTTAGCTTCTAAAATGTGAAGGAGATTAAATGCCAGTTTATTGTCATACTAAAATAAATTACTTTCTGAAACGGCACTACAATCCTATTGCTATGAATTACTTTACCATTCTTGGTATCTTTAACCTAAACCTGAATTAAAACCTGTAACCTTTAAATTCCAAAGCCTATTTAGTCTTATTTTAAAAAGGAAAATAACGAAGATAAATGAAGAACACCCTAGAAGATAAAACAATGACTAATAATTCACGTCCTCGAAGACATTTCTGAAACATGCCTTTTCAAACAAGTCCAGGAACAGTTCAAGCCATGAAAACTGCAGCAGATGTTATGCAGGCAAAGAACAGCTCACTGCCAAGGCTGGGTAAAATGATACGTTACCTCACTGAACAGAAAGAAGCCGAATCTACAAGTCATTTGTAAAACAGGTAAGAGAGGGGGACTCATTTCTTTGGCTGAAGAACAGAGTCCACTGTAAAGAATTAATGCAAATGAGGTCTCTAAACTAAAGCATCTAATAAAGCAGCTCTTTCCTCTGTGTTCTCAGCCCAGTGATGTACGTTGTCCTATGGTTTGATTTGCACGAGCAAGAGCTGTGCAGAAGTCTTGGTTCAACCCCACTCAGGTCTCAGTGCCAAAGAAACAGTGCTCAGTACTGATGGCTGGAATGTGTTCAATAATTTGTAGGGAGAGAAAGAAGTACAGAGAGAGAAGGAGGAGCTCTTAAAGAAACGCTGCTGTCGAGCTTTCTGGAATTTTAGCCAAACTCAGCTAGTGAAGCCAGATTTCTGTACAGGGAATGGTGACATTTGCTTGTCTGCAACATCCAGGGGTGTGAAGTGAACATAACTTGTATTACTGCAGTGAATATAACTTGTACTCTCCATTTGATTTTGTTCAGAAAAGACTGGTCATAGAGTGATGCATCAGGCTGTACTCCCATCTGCTCCCTGGTCTCTCCACTGAGACATTGTCAAGTGTACCAAGTAGGTCAGTTGTGACAGTCTAGCTGTACCTTGGGCTCTTTTCAGCCTACAAGTGGATTTAGATCATTGGTTATCACTGCAGCTCTTCAACCTCTAGGAAAGCTGGGCACGAGACTACATGGACAGATTCTGATTCTCCCAGTTAATGCATAAATGTGAACCTCTACAAAATCTTTACCTGCAGATTAATCCTCTGCAGCATTTCATCCCTAAAAGACAATTTTTTGCTTCCTTTCTCCTTTTATTATCTCCTATTTTTCTTTCAGTGTGCTCTTCACCTTTTGCTCACTTCATGCCTTAAAGAACTTTATGAAATCCTACTCTCATCACATGCCCTCACATCAGTGCATCTATGAGAAGGATACACGTGTAGTTGACTTCAGTGCAAATTATCCAAGGAAAGCAGCCTATGCAACAAAAAAAAAAAAAAAACCAAACAGAATTTTTCCTAATGGAACTTCGTATCTCAGGCTACATTCAGTGCTCCCCCCTGTCCTAGACAGACAATTATCTCTCTTTATGCCCTAATTATTTCTAAACTTAAGTCTGAATCCTCTTGCTCTTTTGAATGGGAGATAAGTGCATAAACACCTGTTTAAGAATCTAGGCCTGGCTTATAAGTCTTCATCTTTCAATTTTTTTGTGACCAAACTGCAAACTTCAGCTTTGTCAAACTTTTATATATCACAAACATTATCCATTTACTTTAAGAAATAAAAGGTTCTCTTAAAATTATCTCCAGCTTCCATATCCATGAATAAATCACCTCCTGGTCAGTGATGATAACTTCATCTTGCCATTTGTGATCCAGAAAGCCTCAATATAAAAGGTAATTGCACTTCCTTAACAGTTCCATTCCCCTCTGTGCTTCAGTGATGAAATGAACTCCAACAGCAGGCAGGATTTTTGAGTTATGTTCTTTGTACTACGTCTAATACCAAGTGTGGATTTTTAGTCTTCTTTCCATGAAGCAGACACTGGAGTAGTGGTATGAGTGTAGAAAGTCTGCAACAGCAGTTTGTGTTCATTCTAATAAAAGATTTTAGGCGTGTCCAAGATATTTCAGTTTTATAAAAATAAGTAAATGTATGTTCCCTCCTTACTCCGTTGTACCAAAGGTGTCCCAATGGCTTCTAACCTCGAGAGGCTCAGGCAATCAGACACGACTTTTATAAGTAGACTCATGAAGTGCAAACAGTAAAGACTGGGCAGGTCAGAAAAGCACTGTTGGCTTATCCCATACATTTAGTGGACATATTGAACCTATCTTAAAAAAACAAAGGGTTTACAAGTCAGACGGGTAATCTGAATCTTCCACATGGAAGTGCTACACAAACAAAACAATTCTTCAGCATGTCTTTGTCATTTTACCATTGGATTTCCACAAGTACAAAAGAAATTATTATTTTGTATTAGAGCAAGGGACTATCTTTATCTTTAGAAAATGGTTGATTTATCAAGGAAAAGAGTAACTGACTACAGTATGAACAGTGGGATTGAATGCATACATGGAACAAGAAAGTAAAAATGTATCATTTTAACGTGAGCGAGTTTATAATAAAACTGGTTAAACAGTGTAGATTTAGAGCCTGTTTAGTAATAACATAAAATGCTACTTATTTAATCTCTATAGGTAAAGACTCAGATACTGACACCATACCTTATAAACACTGTGTATCTGTACAAAAAAGTGTTTGTTTTCAGCCAAACTCATGCAAACATTTCCTCCTTTTATGTTTGTATTTCATACAGTTGGAGTGTTCAAATAAACAGCAGTGCCCACAGTGTGGTCTTCCTTTCACACTCACAAACTTTGTGGGTCTGGATAAGATGTTTAATCTCTCTGCCATCTCCTCCTTACTGGTAACATGTAATTTGTCTTGACTGTGCTTTACAGTCCCTTGGACTGCTGAGAAGTGCAATGGAATAATGCAGATTTATGCCAGTGCCACTGAGTACACAGTCGAGGTACTAATTAAGAGAACCAGACCCACGCAAGACTAAAACTAAGACATTTTATAAAATATTTCATTTAAAATCAGGATTTAAACTGACTTTAAATTTGATATATGGGGGTGGAATGAAAGATGTCAAAATTGAAGTGCTTGAGGCATAGACTCAAAACTGAGAAAAAGAGAAAGAGAGGAAGGGGAGAGAGGACAGATCAGCATTACAGCTATTACAGTCTCTGTATTTATTTATGAAATAAAGAAACCCCAACACCTATTGTTTGATGGATTTTTTTTTTCAGAAGAGAGGCCCCTTTTGCTGAGATGTAAGACAAATTAACGTGATGAAACACTATTTCCTACATACATCATTGTATCACTTTTTCTTAGACTGTTGGGAAATATAGAAACTAATTATATTAACCCCACATTGTCTAAATAAAGATTACCAAGTTTTCTATTTTTTCTATTTATTCATATTTCCATTTTTTCTTTCCCTTATTCCATTCACCTTCCCTCTCTCTTCCCTTTATTTTAGTTTCCTTCAGTTGATTTTACATGCCTTTTTCTTTATTCTAGTTCCTCTACATTTCTTTATTTAGAATAAAAAACCCTTACAAGGGTGGATTTTTTTTTTTTCTTCTCATCTTTCCTGAATTTTTTCAGTTTCTCCACCTTGTTCTAGTCCCTCCTTCATTCCTGGTCTCTTTTCTACTACCCATTTCCCACACTACTACAGAAACTGTGTTCTGTACTTGGTGACCTTCCCTTCCTTCCCGCAGCTACCACAATTTTTCTTTGAAACTGCTGCTCTGTTTCTAACTTTTTCTCCCTCTAGGGCTCTCTCATTTCTCCCTTCCTTTGTATCATTTGTTTTGTTTGCCGTACCCCAGCTCGAATCTCTGTTCCACTTTAACTTCCTCCATTTTCCATGCTTGTTTCTTTTCTCTCCTCTTCTTCACCACCAACTGCAAACATATCTCACTGTCCCCTCGTGAAAAAGGTGATGCTTCAGCAGCCTGGCTCCCTTCTTCCAGCAGTTGGGGCTTGTTAGAGGTGTCCTGCCAACAGCTGGTTTCTGTCATTAACTCTGCCAGAGTCAGTTCAGCTCACGTTGCCATGGATGTAGCGACCAGCCACCCCACATTTCCTCTCTCACCCTCATGCACCCCATAAATTTCCATCAGTGCTTCAAGTCACAGGTTTCTCTTTTAACTGCTGTGAAATATCATTATATATATATATATTGTATATATATATATGGGTGGGTGACTCTCCAAAACACCACAGTTGCTTTCCAGCTGCCACGGGAGCCTCCTTAGTTCTGGCAACACAGGTTTTTCTGTAAATGAATTAACCATGTGGTTACATTTACTGTACCCTACCTCCAGTCTCCAAAAACCACAGTTCCCTGTAGTCCAGATTGCTGTTTTGTGAATCCTATGTCTGCTGTGATCACGAGGAGTCTCTCCACCAGGTTTCTTCCTAGTGCCATGATGAACTGCAGTCAGCTTCTCCATATGAAACCAAATATTCCCTTTTCATATGAAGGATGCCCAGGATCACACACTTGTCATGAATTTACACAGTGAGAGATGCTCTTTCCTTCCTCCTTTCAACACTTAGTGGATGAAGAACTGCATTTTTTAGCCGAATAAATAACACTAACAGGGCATTTAAAATGTCAAGTGTCGTATTTCTTCTTGCTGATCACTTGTTATCTCTGACTGTT